GGCGTTGTTTCGTGTTTACGCGTGACTCTATCGAAGGGGTACGTGAGCAGTTTGAGGCAGAAAGAGATTTGGGCCGGACTACATAACTGGGCTATGTTACTACATGCCCAAATGCCCAATCGACAGGTCTCCTTGTCAAACAAAAAATCACCAATCGATCCCCAGTCGTTCCCCAATTCCCTTACGATTTAGCCACTCCAACGGTGCTGCGCCGCCGCCTGACGCTGCCTCACGCTGCTCCGCGCCTCTGTCGACGCCCGACACTCCGCTGCCTTGCGACCTCCGCCAGTGCCCAACGTCCCCTGCCGCTTCGTCGCCACTTTGTGCGGTACCGCCGTGGCGCCACCCCCCGCTACTTCGTGCTACCGGCTCCGTGATGTTGTTATCTTCTGTCTCACTGTTTGCCGTATGTAGTGATGGATTCCGAAATTTCCGATGAAGAGGCATCTTGGATAGCTGCTGAAGAAGCTGAACCTGAGGTTAGCTCTAGCTTTGGTGCCAGCGGTGGCAACGGATGATACATGCAGATCAACCAACCGGAAGCGACCACACGATTCGAAGAACAATGACCAGGCAGATCAAAATATACAATTGTTATCATGCTTGTGCTAATACATTCATAAATTTGCAGGTCTCTTCTGAAATTATAGGATCATATTGTGGCATTAAATGAGCATTTCAAGCGACAAGAGTCCATATTAGTAGTTTGCGAGTGTTTAAGACATATTTTATACTTTTGTTGTTGAATGTTAAGAGTTTTGGTTGAATAGAATTGCATTTGTACCAAAATATTTTTAGACCGTAAATATTCGCCCCGGCTAACTTCAATTTCTGGGTCCACCACTAAAACCCACTATCAGTGCATTCAACATAGGTATTGCCAGCCTCACCGGGCCTTTCCTCAACGAGCGGATCTCTTAAGTGTATGCACGCCCTAACGCCCATTGTGTAGTGCAGGCGTAATTAAACTAGCTAATCTTATTCGAACTCATGCACGAAGCTAAAGGTCGCCTGGTGGTATGTGGGTGCATACTAAATACTTCACTACTAAGAAAAGGCATGCTAGTGGCGCACCGATTTTGCCTTTTAATGACGTACTACTGGTGCGTCACTAGCATCACGCCATTAGAATTAAATTTTAATGGCGCACCACAGGTGCGCCATTAGTATCTGGTGTTCTAATGGCGCACCACCTAGTGCGTCATTAGTATTGCCCACAGTGCGCCATTAAAATTCCTCCCAGGGGGCCATATGTACCCATGTGCTTTGGCATACTAATGGCGCACCGGTGGGTGATGCGTCATTAGTGTGATTATCTCAGTGCGTCATTAGTGTCTTGTGTGCTGCGCCACTAGTATGAATATTAGGGACTTTTTTTCTTTTCTGATATTTTCACAGGTTACAAAATATATTATTGGACAGGATTTAGACAACACCACACAACAACAGCAGATTCATCGAATACAATAGAAGATTAGTCTCCGAATACAGATCATCATATTAGTCTTCGAATTCAAAAGACCGAACAAAGATAGAACATTACAAGTCTCGAGACCGCGAGTAGCGAGTTTGTCTTCACATTACAAGTCGATATCGACCATCTAAACTACCATCACATAGAAGAGAGTTGTGGTCATCACGATGAGCATCATCGCGATCAAACTGGTCTTCATCCGGTTCCTCCAACGCTCCCTCCTCTTTCCCGCTAGATAGCGGGCGTATCTAGATTCGGTCTCCGCCCTAGTGGTGTACCCTTTGTAACTGTTACCGCTGAAACGGTGAACCTGTCTCCGACACTCCTCCCAGTCGTCGTAGACTCCGGGAACCTTACCCTTGTACACGACATACGATGGCATCTCTATGCACAAGCCAAACAACAGACAATACATAAGCAATATGTAAGTATGCAACAAAAGGATCGGAAGAGAAAAGCAAGACATTAATAGCACGATTCATGGTCCTACTAATAAATAGCATCGATTACATCTAAATTGAATGACTGTCCAAACCAAAGAGACATACGAATTCATTAAAGTTTAATTACAACATGAGCCAATCCATGTTTTAGAACTACACATCACTACTTTCGACTCGACTCATCGGACAGGAGCGTGGATGAAGCCGCCGTCTGTCGCGATGGTCATGAAATCGCGGTCGTTGTCACCCTGCATTTGTAGCATTCCATCTATCTCATTGTTGGATGGTTGATATCTGAGGAAGAACTGCCCCGACGTATGAAGGACATCTTGATGGATGATGTCCGCAAAGTCCGACTGGATGCAAAAGAATTCTTGTCTGAGGTCCGCGTCCTGGATTGCCGACAAGTTCGCGGCCCAATCTTTGAGATTATCTGGTAGCAGAAGTTGATGATGGTCCCTTACGATCGCCCGCATGCGATGGAGGGCGTAGTAGGCATCCTTCTGACCGCCAGGCGGCTGCTTGACGCAGCAGAATTTCGTATTGTGTGAGAACATGTGCTTGTCGTACTTACGAACAGTCCTGGTGAAGGTGCCTCCAGATTTGGCGTAGCCGGGGAGAACATCATCAAGAACTTTCTTGACATTTGTGTAGTCTATCTTGGAGTTACGGTTCGGGTCGAAATACGTGGCCATGGAATATTTCAGGCTTAAGAGGATGAGTGTGCAATGTGTGTCACTGCACAGAACACGGAATGTTAGAAAAAAAAGAACGATCGA